TTATCCGTTAGTATCTGACCTGAGAGGCATTCTCAAGAAATACTCACATGAGACTTTAAACTATTTTATCAAGTTCATTGTTGTAGCATTTTCAGGCTGAAGTCAGTTCAAAACACTTGACAGGCCAGTAGCACTCAAACTGAAAGTGAATCAGTTTACTCATGTGTAGTCTCAGGCAATCCCATGTCCCTTATCTTGAAGCAAGTTATTGGAAAATAGCTCTAAGATCAAGTCCAACTGTCAACCCAACACTACCATGACTACTAAACTATATCCTGAAGTGCCATGTCTACAAGTTTTTTGAACACCTACAGGGATGGCAACTCCACCACTTACCTGGTCTGCCTGTTCCAGTGCCTCACCACTCTTTCAGTTAAAAAATACCCAATCTAAACCTCCCCTGGTGCAACTTGAGCTAATCTCCTCTCATCCTGTCACTTGTTACATATCAGCGTGTGAGTCAATTTAGGCACTTGAGAGTTGCTTGTCGGAAGGATTATGGGGTGGACCTTCACTAAGATTGTTCCTATAAGCAAATCAGTATGTATTTTCAAAAGGGCTATTGATATACATGCAAAATAGATTTAGAAGTGCAGTAAACAATTTTACTTTTTGCTTTCAGAGTACCTGTAACTCAGCTAGTGTCAAAATAATATTAATTACATTATCTCTATGAATTGCCGGGTAAGTTACATTGCCAGTTTGATCATTAGTATCTTGCTTATGGAATGAAAGCAAATAATTTTCCATCACATCTTGACTATCTTTTAAAAAAAAGACACCACTTTCTTACTTTGACATGTTTAGCATTTTGGCAGCTGCATCAATTCTCTAAGAGGCACTTGGAGACATTTTTTCATAGTCCTATGTGTAACTTACTATTGCAAAAGAAAAGATATACTGGTCTGGACTAGTATCTTTTCACTCCTGTTGCTTTTGTTTAGCCTAAAGATTGAAGTTTAAATGTAAGATAGTACTTTACAGGCTCGTTCTTTACGGACCTTTTGGAAAAGGCTAGTACACTATTGCTATTTACAATGATGGAAGCTATTCTTATTAGTGAACTCTAAAGTGAACTAGCTGTTAAATAATAGTTTTCTTTTCGACATATGGTCTTTTTTAAGAAAATTTCAGTTGCTTTTTGAAAATATACATAGATAAATATTCCATTTTTTTCTGTGGACTAATTGGGTTATGTTGTCCTGAGTAGCAATAAATATGTATTGTTTATTGCTTAAATTTGGTTTCATTTTAGTTTCTTTTTGGTTCTGTAAGCTTTGCAAGTCCTGTTGCTTGAAGCCTCTTCTGTGAGGACTTACTATCTGCTGCTGGAACAAACCAAACAAGGCTCAACTCCTTAAACAAGGAAGGTGTTGACATTTCTTTGAAAACTTGGAGCATCTTCTAGGAAGCTTTTCCTTTTTGACAAAGAGTCACTGCTCTTCTTACTCTAGTAGGTTTTGAATGGCTTTGTATCCATCTGTGTACATAAAATTTCATGGACACAATGCACCTCATAATAACGTGAAAACAAAAAAGCATTGACTAAAGTTTCATGGCTAAGTGAAGACAACAATCTAGCTTCCATTTTGTGAACAGGCATAAGTGTTTAGGGAAGCAGCTTGGATTTTTCTAGAATTTAGTAATTTTTTTTGTCATACGGTTTAACTTTTGCTCATCTTCTGCAATGCCTTGATCATAACAGCAGTGAGCAATGTGCTAGTTACTTCAGTCCTAAGCTCTGCAGAGATATGGACAGTGTGACTGGCTCATAGCCCTGTAAGAAGAGCTTGGTCTCGTAGTTGTGCTCTGAGGAGGCCTTGCGACTGTTACAAAGCAGTGTTCACACAGGTGCAGTGCTATTCTCTTCTAGAAGTTACTTAATCAGGTGAGAAATGCTGGCTCTCATTCTTCTTTAATACTGCAGCACAGGGCACACAGCACATGCAAAGGTTTAAACTCTCTTCCTCCCACATGTGACCAGATGGAAGTCCCTGTTTTCTGTGGTCACAGTGTTTATTGTGACTGTTTGGGCTTGTCTGGGGAAAGGGATGCCGTTTGTCTGTCCTACTAGAATGCTTCTACTTTAAAACCAAAAAACGTGTGGGCAATTTTGAAAGTCTTTGTTTATGAAGGACTCTGCAGCATGGACATTTTATGTTTCGAAACTAGTAACGGTTTAACGTAAAAAAACTGTTCTCGTTGGTTCATCAAGGATTGTTGCATGGGTCCTTTCCTTTGGACGAATGTTTTTGTCAGGTATTTCAAGAAGTTTCTTCATCGTGTGATTTCTAAACCTAGGTCAATAATTTCTTTTTTTAGATTAAAAATAAGCTACTGTGGGTTCAAGTAAAAGTATTCTGATAGCTTGGAAATACTGCAGAAGTGGAACAGAATCTGAGACATGTTCCTACTTAAATATAGCCTGTTAACTAGCCCGGAAGACTTTCTCCTTCATATATAGGCCTTATACTCTGCCCCATCCTTTCAAATATTGTATAGGGCCTGTGGCTTATGGCTATGGAGGAGTCCATTTGTTAAACCAAAACATAGACTTAACTGGTCTTGTCTTAATTCACTGGCAACATATAGGCAGTGTTACCTTTTGATACTTCTTTATCCTTAGCAGGGTATAGCAGATCCTAGCAGTTGGAGTACCTCAGTCTGTTCCCTATCCTGGGTAACCAGGTCTCCCACTTCTTTCTGGAGAGGGCCCACATTATCCTTAGTCTTTCTTTTATCACCAATGTGTATACAGAGAAGCTTTTCTTGTTGCCCTTGACATCTCTGGTCAGATTTAATTCTTTCGGGGCTTTGGCTTTCCTAACCTCATCCCTGGCTACTCAGACAATCTCTCTGTTTTCCTCCCAGGCTACCTGTCCTTGCTTCCACCCTCTATATGCTTCCTTTTTGTTTCTGAGCTATTACAGGAGCATCCATGGTGGCTTCCTGGCATTTTTGCCTGACTTCCTGCATCTCTCCTGAGCATGGGGGAGATGATTCTTAAATACTGACCAGCTTTCTCGGGTCACTCTTCCCTCCAGAGCTTTATCCATGATAACTTTGCCAAGCAAGTCCCTGAAGACACCAGAATCTTCTCTTCTGAAGTCTAGGGTAGCAAGTTTGCTGTACACCCTCCTCATTGCCCTTTTCTTGCCTATTCTTTGCGTCTCTTGGCAAGTTCAGCTCAGCTGTGACTTGGGCTTCCTGATGAATAATGCATTTTCAATTAATACACATAAATTGAGAGGGTCAACTGAAGGGTTGATCATATTGTTGATGTGAGTAATCCCACTGAAAACATGAAAGCAGAAGCAAAGGCTTTATTCTTTCTGAGTTTGAGGAAGTTATTTGGCCCATCTGAAAAAAATAAATTCATTGTCCTGCTAAGTTAGGTTTTTTATATGTACTAAAGCATGTGTTTGCTTCTGTTGTAATGTCTTCATCTGTGCAGTAACTGAATCTGTAAATGCTGATGATTAGAATATTACCCTTGTCACCTCCATTTTCTCCCCTTGCATTTGCTTCATAAATATGCTTTTTACCATCCTGATTTTTACAGCCAAGCAGAATTTGAATTATTCCATCTGTTGACTTTGGAGAAGCAATCACTCAGCCAAGGACTGCTTTCTGCTTTCAGTTGTTCTGCTTTCAAAAATGATGCTGAGTACAATGCAAAAAAAAATATCTTTCACATGCGTATGTGTCTGTGATTCAAAGCCATCAGCCTTTAGACCCTGTGGGTTTTTTAAGGAGTGAAACTGAAAAGGCCAGTTTCAGTGGGATGGTTATTTTAAATGTTGCACATCATCTGATGCTTTGATTAAAGACGTATTTTTGCTATTCTGTCTCCCAGTGGTGGGTAGGATATTCTTGCTGCTACACCACTAAATGTCTGTAAAGCCATGTGGTTGTGTTGAGTACCAACCTGATTCTAACACTTTTTAAAACAAGGCTAAATCTGGTCTGATAAGGCTTATCTCCCTTGACCCCCTGTCTAGGCTATGGCAGAAAAAAATCACAGCCTACAACTAACAAAGAATGTAGTGATACAGTACAGTGGTTGAGGTTTGTATGGTAATGATATATAAAAGTTTGTTTACCTCTTTTACTTGCAGCCACTCATTCCCACATTTTGACCAGTACAACTGTGCGCATGGCTTCTGGTTTGCTGAACCAGCAGAGTGACCAGGTTTCTAAGTACCCTTTTTTATTTCTGTGAAGCACTAATAAACTTCACATTGAAATAGACTTGGGAGAAGTGTTTTACCAGTAAGAGGCTGACATTATTTTAGTGAAGTTTTGTTTTTAAAAATTGGGGATGTAAAACAGTGTTTTGAAGATTTTGTAGATGCGGCTGTGAGCTACATGCTGAATGCAGTTCAGTTCCTGTGCTCCTTCTGCATTTACCCACCATTTGCCTCTTTGAAAACACTGCAGCTTCTAAACCCACAACCAAGCATGTTGTTACTGGCTCAGGAAAGCTGTCCCATAGCTTCAGTCAGATCTGTGAACTGCTGAGCGCCAAAAAAACCTTTTTAAAATTAGATTTTGCTTTTCTGGAGACTATTGTTAGCAACCAGGAAGATTTACATAGTCAATCACAAGCAAAGTAATTAAAGCTTCTCTTCTGTTTACTTCTGTCGTGGCTGATGTGATGAGATGAATTGGGTACATCAAGAGGTCAAAATTTGTAACAAGAACCTGTTCCCTCATCTGACTGAGGTTAACTGCAGTTTTCTAGCATTTGTGTGCATCATGACATCTTGTTAAAGCCTGAACTAAGAACCTTAGTTGGACAGCTTTTCTTCAGCACTGTGTTAAATAAGTTCTCAGTTCTTTTCTTCTAGATGGAATAAAGGTTTGCCAAAACAGTGTCAGAGTGAAGGAAATTTTTGCTTTTTTATGATGTAAAATGAATGCATAATCAGTAAGTTTACAAGATTTATTCACATGAAGTTCTATGAGGGTTTCTTAATGTACTTTTTCTTTCTTTGCAGCTATTGGCTGACAAACAAGGTCCACATTAAACGACCGAGCACCGGTCTCCTCATGTATACGCTTGCCACCAGATTTTGTGATGAAATTCACCTATATGGATTTTGGCCATTTCCAAAGGATTTGCATGGAAAACCGGTCAAGTATCATTATTATGATGATCTGAAGTATCGATACTTTTCTAACGCTAGTCCCCATAGGATGCCATTAGAATTTAAAACGTTGTTTGTATTGCATAACAGAGGAGCACTTAAATTAACAACAGGGAAATGTGTACAGCAATAAAGCACATGTAAAGTACAATAAGGAGTACAGAATACACACTTCATCATGAGGATGTTGTGAAATGGCAATGGGATCCCGGTGAGGATATATTACAGTAACTACTAAGCCATTGGAAACAAAAAGAATTTTGCCAGAAGTATATAACCAGCTATTATACTTGTAAAGTGCTATGTAACTAAGCTATCTTGACTGCAAGGGTTCAAGTAAGTGCCACTTCCACTAAGAACAAAGCTTGAATGTATACTCAGTAGTGTTTACAGGATACAATGACACATTCATCATGAACTGACAAAGAAAAATAAAGCCTGCTGACCTGCCACTGTGGTCAGACAGCCCACAGAAGAAAACCCCAGTAGATGGACTATTTTCTTGTGCAAATAAACCAGGCTTTGGCAGAAAAGATCGTGATAGAATTGAGTAAAGAAAGTGAAGTCCGTAAGATCAAACAAATCAGTAATTGCCTTGAGTCAGAGGACTGTTTCTGATCTTGTATTATAACCTCAGCTTTTGTTGCTGTTTTTCGTATTGCTATTGGTTGAGTTTTGTTGCTTTTAAGTAATGGAGTCCTTAAAGTATTTTGAGAATGTTACGAATAATTAAAAGTGTATATCTTACAGAATTGTCTTAGGAAGAAAATTCGTAAGGGTGGGAGGGTGGAGGGAAACATCAAATATTTTATCAATTGTTACTGTGTTGTATCCTGCTGTCACACAGGATTAACATCACAATTGTTTTTCTAACTACCACTGTCAATACCCACTACATGGAACCACTCAGAGGTCTTTTAGATTCATCTATAAAAAAAAGTTTTTCTGTTGTGTGCCAGTCTGAAGACATGAGAAGGTGCCCTTACTTTTGGTACCAAAGATTAATCTTATACACATTTATTCCTTTCCTTGAAGAAATGGTGTAGGCTTACTATGGTGTTTCTTTGCTGCTGAAAGGAACATTTGCTTTGTTCTTTAAATTTTTTAATTAAGCATCTCAAAGCAAAGCCTCTTTACTGACTTTGTATATAAAATTTCATTCTTCAGAAAAGTCTGCAGGATTAAATAATTTCATACATTCATATATATATAAATATACACACACAATTTTTGTTCCTGATTGGAAGGAAAACACAGAGTTCAAAGGAACTCAGGTGACATTGGTACACAGCTAGAGAAAAAAAAGACCTGGCCAATTAAATGGAAAATAAAAGAATTGTAGATCATAGAATCATAGAATGGCCTAGGCTGGAAGGGACCTTAGAGATCATTTTAATCCAGCCTCCGTGTCGCCAGGGACGCCACCTCTTGACTCAAAAGGTTCTTTTAAAACTTAAATTTCTAATGGTGTTGGATGATATCTCTCTCTAATATACCTCTTTTGTGTCAGCTTTGTTTTTCTGATGTGTGACTGAAATATCACAAAACTACATTATCTCACAGGGTTTTTTCCAAGTATCATTCTTGTTTATCCACAAAATCAAGAATTCTTTCACTGCCTTCTTTCAAAAAAGTGAACAAGAAATTATAGGAGGGTAGGAGAATGTAGAATGTCAATACACCATATACTACAATACAAAACCTGTTTACATATATGTTTAAGCTCTAATGGAGCAGATAATGAAGAACACCATGATTCCACCATTTATTTTCATGTCGGGCTAGGGTAGGGAGAAGGCATGCAAATGCCATGTATCAGTATTTTCTTGTGTTTTCAGCTCTGCCTTAGGTCCTCATCGCCAAATATATTTGGTGTGTTTATTGAATTTTGAACTGGCTTTAGCAATTTTATATGTAGCACAACGCTCACAAACATTTGCTAGCTGTAAGTGCCATTTATTACACATTTTTCCTCTTTTAAGTTCACATATATTTCATCATGAATGATTACAGGTCTGTGATTAAGCAAATTTAGTAGCTAAATTCAGTAGCAAACAGTTCTGCCAAAAGTTGATGGGAAATATAAAGTCATTATGCTATATTGAAGACACGATAGCATCGTTCCTTATTCACCAGTCTTTCCTTCGCAGGATATCTTGACTCTATGCTAAGGTGTGTGTTGTGGTTCTGACATGATCACCACTGAAACCAAGACATCATCGTGATCTGAACAGCAATACAGACTGGAATGTGTTTAATCTGTTGCTGATAAACCGAAGGGTGTTGTTTGTACACTGTGTAAATTTGCAGCTTAAGACAAGATTATTTCCTTGGTGAAAGGTGGGCATGTTGCTGTTCGTTCTGTTAGGGTTTTGCTGCTTTTGATATTTTAAAACATATTCCATACAGAATTTCCATTGAGTTAAAGAACTCAGAGTTGCCCATCTCAGAGAAGCATCTCTTTAGCTGTATCTTTTCTTCTGATAATGTCTTTTCCTCTCTCTAGTGTCAGCCCATCAATAAGGGAATTCAGGTAGACCAAAATATTAACTGACAGGTGAGTTTGTTCACCTCAGGGAAGGTTTTAATACACCAACTGACTGTTTCTATGAGAGCAAAGTTGACAGAGACACTAATTCCTTTCAATTACTTGTGTAACTGAATATTATGAAAACAATGAGAGGTAAATAGGAAGACAGATGAGCAAGTTTGCCTTTAGAAGTGAGCAGGTAAAGAAAAACTTGACCTGGGCATGGTTTGCAAGGTTCACTTTGATTCTCTGTGAGTTGCAAGCCATGGAGTCCAATTTTTTATCCTGTTGTTAAATCTGATAGAACAGAGTCATGAAAAACAAGGTTTTTCTCACTTCATTTGGCACAAAACATGGCAGTAGCACCTGCTTCCAAGACAACAGAGTTCATCCATACCTTCTCAAAACTGGGCCCTCATCTCATCTCCTGCAGGCTTTCCGCCTTCAATACTGCACATTTCCGGCACCTCCAGCCATATTTTCAGCACTCTTTGCCCTCATCCACACTCATACTTCTCATAGCACCGTCCCCTCAGACTGGCACCTAGGTGCAGTTCCCTACCAAAAGCATAGGCCTCTCACTAATCCTCAGCTTTATCCTGAGCTGAAGTGTAATCCAGTGAGTGGCAGATTTCAAACCATCCACCGAGGCAAGTATCAGTTGTAGTCTTTATGCAGGTTTTCACAAGCACTAGGAGTCACTTTTCTATATTGCTCCTGTAGAAGATCTATGTCTGTGTGGAACCCAAAGCTTCTGGGACTTCTGGTGTGTAGTTTGTTGGACTGCATGTTGTCTGGTTTTACGTAGTTTGTGACCACCAGCTACTGGTTACTCTGGGATGACTGAAGGTGGGACATGTCCAGAGCTTTTTCTGTTAGGTAATGTGGCCTTGGTTGTTGGCCCTCTCACTGTTGGTTAGCTGTGGCAGTGGACTCATCGCAGACACCCTGTCTTACCTTTCCCTTACACCTCCTTGCTCTATATTGCCCTGGGGCTCTTTGTGCATTTCTGTTGAGGCACCCCAGGTCCTGAGTGAAAACAAAAGGTTACTTCCACTGCGTGACACTTTCTCCCTAAAGGTGACCTGGGGCATAGCACCAAAGGCTTAACTGCCATATAGGGACTTTACTATGGAATAAATTTCACCTCCTAGTCCTTCACTGGGCAGCAGTCAAGCCTCCATGGCTGCCTTGGTAATTTCTGTTGTTTATACACATCCACACCTCCTGTGCTGCCTATGGCATAGATCAGATAAACAGGCTTTTTTTGTAGTTACCACTTCTATGCAACACTGTCAGCTAATAAAAAAAAAAGAATTCCTGATAGTGTGGTGATATCTGTCCTGTCAAGGAATAACAGATTAGACGTTCCTCAAATTTATTCTCACAACAGTCATCAATTGCCAGCTATGGTTCCTAAATGTTAAAAATAAAAACTGGGAGCTACATGAAGACAGGAGACAGTATATCTTATTCCAAATCTTATGGCAACTCTACATTGAACAACCTGATTTCATTAAAGTAAATTTATTGTAAATTGTTTATTAACATATGTGTTAATGTTTCTGTGACAGAGTCTTTCTTGATTCATAAAGATAAGGAATAAATATATTTGATTGTTAAGTTTTCAGCTTTGGGACAGTTCTCCCTCCCACAGCTCTGAGCCACGCTCAAGATATGAGAGCTACTGAACATTTCAAACCTTGGCTGTTTTATGCAATCTAGTGTGTAATAAAAGACCGTACCATTCTTTCTTAACAATATTAGCAACATGTGCTTGAGGTCAGCACCTTTTCTCTATTTAACTGCAATTTGAAGAAAAACAGCTGTGAGTTCAGTACATTTCTTTTTAGTGTTTGATCTAGCAAAGTGCTGAGCACTCTTTATGGTCACTTTCCTGGGAGATACGTGTCCAGGATTTAGATGGGGATCTAGATTAGCATATTTCAGGATATAACTCTGAAATTGCACATTATTTATTTTCAAGAGCACTGTTACTTTGTGTAGGAAATTGTTCTAAATGTAAATAAAATGAAGAGCGTTTACAGAGAGCTTCATTCCTGCACAGTACTATTGCTACTGAGCGTATGTAATGCAATTTCTGTGATTTGAAGTATTGATATGTATTCTGTCATATTTGGCACTGTTAATATTATTTCCAGTACAACTATGGGGATTGGTTTTTATTTGTACAACTGTAAAATAAAGAAGTTTTTCATTTTTTCTGCTATATTCTCTTCCATATTCCTTTGTAACATAGTAGTAATATTTTTCAGTTATATGCTAACTGTAAGGATATGTGGAAAAAGAGTGTCTGCTTCTTTAACATGTCTGATCAAGGACTTTCTCAACACAGAAAGGGGATACTAAGAAAAGGAGGAGGCCATAAACAAGAACACAGAGAGACACAAACCTGACCGACAAACGATAAGGGAGGCAACAATAAGAAGCAAAACTGATGAGTCACACTAACTGTAAGGATATGTGCAGAGTAGCAGTTTATTCCAGTAAGATTATCTGACTGACAACCTTGTCAAATGGGATATTGAGGAAAAAGGGGAAGCAATAAGGTATGTGGGGACACAAACTGATGGCGAAATCATAATGGTGACAAAGACAAGAAGCCAAACTCGCTGGTCACACTAATTGAATGGCTATCGAAGAACTGTGGATAACTGGATCTTTGTGATAAGGATTCAGACCTGTGCATCTGGTATGTTCGAGGGGGGTCAGTGGGGCTGTGCAAACTGATGAGGCAATTTGCAGGGGCGAAAATGAGGAAGAGAGAGAAAAGGGGCCAGTTGTTTGTAAACAATGACTGGTCAATACACTTGTCTAGCTGAGCCCTGTGCCCAGTTGCTGCAGTGTAGTGGTTTGACCCTTGCTTGTGTCCAGGTGCCCATCACAGCTTCCTTGTCACTCTCTGTTCTCAGCTAGAGGTGGGGAGAAAATATAAGAAAAGGTCCATGGTTTGACATAATGACAGAGTGATCACTAGCAGTTACCATTCTGGGTAAAACAGAATCGATTTGGAGAAATTAATTAAATTTATTAACAAACAAATC